TAAACAAAGTATCGAAAATTGCCACCGTTAAGTACCGGTATCGATTCGTAGGTGCTGTGAATTGGTACCACATCGATTCAAATGTCAAAGGTACCCATGCCTACATAAATGTTAATTAAAGATGAGAAACTGTGTATACTTTTGTCAGATGAACAATAACATAGAAGAAGTGTTGTACATCTGCTACTGGCTGCCCTGATTTCTTGACTTTGGCCATTGAAAAACACCATTTGACCTCTAATGTGTATGTTTTTATTGTATCACAGTAGGTAATGCAGTCAAATTTTAAAATCATTTATTTTGGAAAAACTTATTTGCAGTAAGATGCTTTGTCAGCTATAACTTTGTATTGTTTTCCGCTGCAGATTTAAGAGGGACATTACTGCTGTAATGAGAAGGGACGACAGCCGAGTCCCATGTGGGAGTTATTATTGACATTTGCTGGGAATGGATAAAGCTGAACAAATACAGCCAGCAGCAAAGCCTGCTAGACACTAGCCTGAGGACTGGATTGTTTTTCTCTCGCTACGCTTCAGAAAATAAAGTTAGAGCAACCGTCAGAGTAATGTTTAAAGACTATGACAATCTAAACTCTCAACAGCATTCTTATATTTCAACTCGTTTCTGATACTTAACGAAGAATGTTGACATTTTCTAATGTCCTTGACAACATGTTATTAAAGGCTTGTCTCTGCTTGATCATCCAACAGGCCTCTGCTGCATTTCTAAACTATCTACACAGTGACACAACACTCCGAGTCTACTGCTGGGGTTTTAGTACGTTACCACACAGGGCTGTTGCTTTAATAGTCACCTGACAAGCTTCTTATCCTCAGGCACAATTTGGGAAATAATCAGGAGGTCTTTGTAAAACATAGTCCTCACCTACAGTTTGAGGAACACTGGGGTCATGCTCCAGAACTTTTTATCTTTAACTCATTCACTGCCATTGACGACTGAAGTTGCCATTTTAGATCCAACCGTCGTCATTGGCATTTTTTTTACTGTTTGGGCATCGGAACAAGCCCCTGTGCTGAGAGAACAAACATCACAGCTCTAAAGCCGATCTTCATCTGCATACGTCACATGTCACATGATCAGGAAGCAGAAAATCCATGAGTTTTTGGATGCAAAAATAGCATTCGCCATGGCATCACAGCCCCTCCCTATCTGGAAAGCTATCAGATCTGAATGGTCATTACAGCATCATGAAGACAGTGCATGACCTAAGTGTCTTGTTAACTAAATTAGAGGGGACAAATATGGGCATTTCACCATAAAACAATAGACTTCCTGTAGTAAGGGGGTGGGGCTTAGGTGATGTCAGCTGTCCACATTGTCATTGTCTTGAGCTGTGGTCAGTGATCACACAGACAAAGTTTGATATAGATCTGATCATGCACATGGGAGTTATTAAGTCAAGTAATGTAATGGCGAAAGGTCAAAGTTTGAGGCTTAGCCACGCCCACATCTTTCAACTTTTGAAAAATCAGATGGTTGAATTTTCCCCCCTATGTCTTACGAGTATACATCAGAAGTTTGAAGGCAATTGGTGAAAAGGACGACGGGGCATCATTCTCCAAACAACGTGTGCGAAAACTACTAAATTGAGTACTTGGACCAAAATGGCCAACCTCCAGTGCGACTTTGGGCTTGGCTCCAAAAGACTTTTTTGTAGGTCCTGAGACACCACATTAGTGTACTGAATTTCGTAATCGTCAGTCAAAGCGTGGCTTGGGGCTGACAGTTTTAATAGTCCTAGGGGGCGCTATGTCAGAAAATAGGCCACGCCCACCAGATTTTCACGTCAGATTTTTGGGGGGGCCGGACTAGGATCACTCACAAGAAGTTTCGTGGCGATATCTCTAGAAATGACAAAATGGGAGGCAAACGTATGGCCACGGCGGTACGCCTGACTTCGCCGCGCCGCCACAGCCCCGCCCTCTGGAGAAAACTCCCATAAAGTGATGCCAAGCAACCCCCACTTGTCTTGAGTTACCAGCTACAAATTTGTGGTGATTAAGTGAAATGGGGCGATTTGGGACCTATCAGAGTAAAACTTGACCTTTTTGGTCCTGAGGGGGCGGGGCTTGTGTGATGTCATCATCCGACCATTCAGTTTACTTTGTGGGTGGATGACGAATGACCACAGAAATTTTTGTAACTATGTTCCATTCAGTTAGGAAGTTATAGCAATTTAAATTTTCTGGTGAGTAGTCAAACTTCGAGGCCTGGCCCCGCCCCTTCAACCTATACGAAAACTCAGAATCCTTGTCTCATTTTGTTCGCCCATCGCTTCTGAACAATTTTACACAATTTTTGAGACGATTGTGCGAAAAATGATCGAGCAATCCAATCAGAAACGGACCCTAAAAACGGCCAAAACAGCTAAAAATCGCCATTTCAACCCAAAATGACCGACTTCCTGTTTGATATTGACCATGGTTGCAAGAGATTTTTCTGTGCGGACTGTTGAGTACTACAAGTGTACCAAATTTCATAACTGTACGATAAACTAAGCTTTAGGGAGAGGGGTATTTTTCACATTCTAGGGGGCGCTGTTCAGCCAATTTCTTTGCGATTTTTTGGGGACCTTTAAAATATCAAATCTTTCACCAGGCCTGACAAGTTTGCAAAATATTGTGAGTTTTGGGGTATGATAAGGTCCCCAAAAAGCCGTTCAAAGCGGGCACGGAATAATAAATAATAAACGGAGGAATAACAAGAGGCCTTCGCAGCGCTTTCGCTGCTCGGGCCTACCTAAGAAATCACAATGTGTGTGTGTGTGTGTGTGTGTGTGTGTGTGTGCGTGCGTGCGTGCGTGCGTGCTTCTACTCCGTCTTCTCAATCCCCAGTGAGTCATGGCGGATGGCTGCTTACTGACCCTTTGCACGTGACGTCACGCCATTCATGTGACCGCCCCCTTCGCCATGATGGATGGCGAAAAGACAGTTTACACCCGAAGAAACTCCAGTGAAGGTAGTCAAAACAAGCCAGTTTGTAGCCTTTTAAGGCTTTTGTTTAGTTGATTTGACAGTAAAATGGTTTTAGCTTGCTGCGTGGTTGGCTGCACTAACAGACAAGGACGTAAACTCAACTAGTTTTGTTTTTTTAATAACTTTGATGGAGACTGAGGACGGAGATGAACTGCAGCGATCAATCAAGCGCACTAGCAGCCCTCAGATTAGCAATGAACATGTTTTTACCAGGTAAGATTAACGTTCATTTATTTCATGAGGAAGGCAGGGACGGGGATAAATGTGATGTGTTTATACTAGTTATTGATAATCCTGATGGACGGGTATTTCACCACGGAGGCTGCGCTCCGTCCACTGTCGTGTAAAGCGAGATAATTATTAACAATATTAAAGCTCTGATGTATGATTACGTGTGTTAAAATTACGTTATTTATTTATATCAGCGTCGCCGTTCAGAGATCTTCTCATCCCAGTGTGAGAGCAGCAGCTGAACCCGGTAACACCACCAGCAACAGAAGCTGGTAGAGATCCGGACGTTTAAACAATCAGCTTTGGTGTAAAGTGAAACGCTGTTTATAACATAAAGTTATAAATCCAGCGGGGTGAATTTAGGCAAAGTCAGCAACAAGTTTACATCGGTGAACAGCTGCAGAGAGAACGTAAGCTAACGTTGGTAAGCTAGTTAACATACCGCTCTCTATGAGCCCCGGCTAGATGCGCTACTTCTTCTGATAACTGAACTGGGCATGAACTAGTCGAAGGAATGCTGGAGGAGTTTTGTTTTTGTTTTGATCGCAAAAACAATTTCAGACTCTACTTTTCTCTTTGTTTAGTACTCGTGTCGCTCACTGTTTACATGCTTTTGCCGTCCAGCATGGTGGACCCACGTGATGAGGTGATGTTGGTGCAAAGGGTCACAACTGATCCAGGATCCTCTGGAGGTTTCTTCCTGTTAAAAGGGAGTTTTCCTCTCCACTGTTGCTAAATGCTTGCTTAGTATGAGGATTGCTGTAAAGACTGACACTAGTCAGTAACTTGATGCAACCTGCTGGGTTCCTTATATAGGAAACTTTTTACTGATTGGCTTAATGAACTGACCTGTATTGGAATATTTACTGTGTGAAGTGCCTTGAGACGACTCTGGTTGTGATTTGTCGCTATATAAATAATTGAATTCTAAATAAAGGACTTAAGTAGCTTTATCTGTTCTTGACTCAAAGAAAAGGACAAGTTTAAACAGTCCAAAGTTGATGCAAAAGCTGTTTCAAACGAGCCACCTCCATCTTGATTGTTTCGCTCTGTGGCATCACCCCACCCACTAAACCGATAAGAGTTCTGTGATTGGCAAGAGAAGACTGGTCTCGCCTACTGAGGCTCCTATGAAGTGTGGTTAGACCAACATACAGAGCTTGCTTTGTCTAGGTTTCTAGGCTAGTAGACACCAAGCATAAATTCCTGATATACAGAATTATGAATGTTTATCTCAGTGATTTTAAAATTAGACCCTAGGGAATTACATGGAAGTCCAGTTTGTATGTCAGAGTTAGCAAGGGAGCTTTCAAAATAGAAACATTCAAAAGAGTTCTCAATATGAATCACAACGCTTCGCTTACGTGTTGGAGGTTTCTCAGATATGTTGTTTGTGTGACACATTTCTTTTCATAATAGTGACCGTAACCCATCTGAAACTCTATTCAAGTGTGAAAAATAAAGCAAAGTAAAAAAAAAAAAAGTTTCAACTCTGCAGTGACCTGAGTTTTAAGCACAAAACAAACCTGTGTTAAAAACAGTTGAGCAAAATGGTAAAAGTGTAGGTGAAAAACTCTTTTATGGAACCATGCAAGTGCTTTTGTGATTTAGTACTTTTTTTTTTGTAAATCTAGTTTTAAACTAACCAAACACCAGCCAGTTCTGATGAAAACCACTGCATTAACAACAGAGCTCCGGCTTGCTAGATATGTTGCACAAGTTCCACTAAGTACAAACGATACCTCCTGAAAAAAGGACTTCAGAGGTACTCACAGTAATGACAGCTTTGCTGAGGCAGAGAGAACCCCGGCAGCCATATTCCGTCTCATCGTGAGACTTGTAGTAGCTCAGCGTGTTGTTCCTTAGCATAACCCAACGGTCCTGCCAGCCATGGATGTAGTTTGTCCACTAGAAACAAATTCATGGAGAAAGAGATCATAATAGAATTTAAAAGCATCAAAACAAACACCTGCACTACAAAAGGAACCAAAAACCATATTTAACTGTTGTTTAGATTAGCATTAGCATGCTTGGCTAATGAAATTATCTACAATGTTTTCTGCTGCATGCTTACCTAAATAACATTTAGCAACGTGTGTATGACAGAACCTCCATTTAAAGTCTTGGTAATTATCTCTAAATTCACAGGACCGTTGAAGTGCATCAGACTGACAAAATCTGTCGTTAGTTCGTGAACTTTCAAATTCTAAAACACTCGACGTGCACCCCAGAGTGTGTTACATTCCTGGAAAACATCTTGGGTGGTACAAGTGCAGGTCTAAGAATTGCAAAGGCTTGTAAACTCTCACAAGAGCTGTGATGCATTCAAGGCTTAGCATGATTACACAGGTGAGCTTTACTGAATGCGGATCTGCCTAATCACACAATATGCTTGGCTAGCAGGTCAGCGTGCAATCTGTTTAGGCACACAATCAATTACAGTGAGATTAATACCACATTAGCATTCTCACAGCTTAAAGAATTTCACCTGTGCCAGTCTGTCTAAAACAATCCAACGCAAAGCTGAGGCATATGGTAACATAGGTTACCAAGTCGTTGTCTAGCAGCAGGCTTAACGAGAAAAATAAATAAAAAACAGAAGAGAGACAACAAAAACTGTTCCTTCTTTTCTCCAACCCAATAAACCCACTTCCTAGAAACGTTTTCAAGCAGAACTGAACGATTCTCTGTACCTTACACTCTTGACAAACCGTTATTTACCCACTAACCAGACCTCTGCTCAGAAACCTCTTGGTTTATTTAGGTTGTGTTTACAGTAGACAGGATTGTACACAAGTAATGAGTGAAGTGCCAGAGAAGGACCAGTCACTAACCTGGACACGACTAATTCTAAATAAATTTGCAGGCTTGTCCACACTTCTACACCCACTGAACTTGCCTCCTTACAGAAGTCTTCTGGGTTTTTTTTTTGTCACCCTTAAATGTTTCAGATCAGCAAACAAACCTCAGTATCAGACAGACACCCTGAGTAAATATGAAATTCAGTTTTCAAAACAAAAAACTATCAAAACCAACCTATGTGGAAAAATTCAATGAACTCATGGTTCATCAGTTACAGTAAGTTTTCCTGGGCCAGAAGCAACATAGTAGCCCCAGACCATCACACTACCACTGCTGTGCTCGATGGTTGGTGCTCTTTTTCTGAAATGCAGAGTTGGGTTTTCAACAGATGCAACGGGACACAAAGTTCTAAAAAGTTCCATTTTTGTCTCATCAGTCCACAGAATATTTTCTTAGAAGTCTTGGGAATTAATAAGATGTTGTTTGGCAACAGTAAGACAGCCTTTTTGGTCAGCAGTGGTAGTGGCTCTAAAGCTTCCCCACGGAGGTCATTTTTGCTTTCTTGTGGCTTTCTTATTGTTAAAATCATGAACTTTGACCTCCATCTTAAACAAACAAAGACTGAAGTGCTTTAGATAAGATGGAATGGAATAAAATAGAACTTTATTGGTCCCAAGGAAAATGGGATGTTCTGGTTTTATTTGCTGTTGATATTTTTTTAAGTGAGGTATGATGTGTTGCTTTTTGAGATATTTTGTGCCAAGTCATGTTGTTAGATAGCATCAGCTGAAGTGGACCAGATTGGTTTGAATTGTTTCCTTAAATCATTCTTTAACCCTCCCACTAAGGGTGAGGAGTGAGCACCACCTCACCCCTGCCACGTGGACCTCAAGGGATAAACCATCAAACCTGCTCAATGGTTAGCTTTCCTCGTGGGGTCACACCCATTAGAACAGTGGGAGGGTTAAATATGTTGTGTTTACTCAGGTTCCATTAGGTTGATACTAATGTGACCTGAAACATTTAGGTGAGACAAAAAGACTAAAAACCAGTGGTGGGCAGTCAGGGCCAGCAAAGCCTTCTCTGCTGGCCTAAACGTACTCAAAAGCGTAAATGTATTTTTTTTCCTTTGGTAATTATTTTTAAATAAAAAAAATGTTTACTGGTCTATTTTGTTTATATCCTATTATAACCACTTGGCTGTGCTGCTTCCAGTGTTAAAATACCAAGGCTGGGTGTTATCCAATCAGATTTAAGCTAGCTTGTGTTTTCAGGCAGATTAAGTCTGCCCTAGGCCTTCAGAATCAATCGAGAAGCCCACTGTCCGCTGTAAGTGAACGGAGACGGCCAGTTGCGATAGCCAATCAGCTCACGAGTCAGCTTGGCCCGGGCCAGCTAGCTGACCTCACGCAAAAGTTGACATGAACGCATCCTGTGATTGGATAAGCAGTAGTTAGAACTTTTCTAGCGGCATGAAGCAAAATATCAAAACTAAACACGGAGATTTGTATCTATAGGCAGCTATCGGTGTATTTTTGAACACATGATGGCTGAAAGAGGAGAAGAGACAGACTTGAATGCAGATTAACTTGCCACACCATTTTCAAGACGGACCTTTCAAGAAAAAATGGATCTTTTGAGAACAGGTCGTCTGACTCCAATGCTAGCTGGCTTGTCCCAGCAGGAGAAAGGATTTGTTCGTCATTTTCAGGCAAGCAACTATGAACGGTACCCACGGCTAACAGCTTCAGAGAACCGCTGCAGGTTATTCTGCTGGGAACGCCTGTTGCTCGCATCAGATGGATTTGGTAGCATTAAAGCGCGTTAAAATGTACGCCAGAAACACGACCGGGCAGACACGTCTTTCAGCATTAGCCTCCATGTCCATAGAAAAGGATCCACTCATGGACCTGAAGCGCACAGATAAACTGTACAGAGCCACTGAGGTTTTCCTGAGGAAAGAAAGAAGGATGGATTTTATTTTCTAATGAGCAGGAGAGGAGGAGATCCATGCTGGACATTTATGTTGGTGAGTAGAAACATTTTATTAGTATTTTTTTAATGTTTTTTCATTTTATTTTGTTAATAATCAATAAATGGTAACGAAATAAAATGGCAAAATGAAATTATTCTGTGTTCTGTTTCTATGCAATTTATATTGTGTATGACGTGGTGTGTGCAGCTGCGCCAACATGTTCAATTGTTTCGCGGTACAATTTTCTCCAAAACAAATGCAAATAATGTGTTTGCTTTACTTATTTATTTTATTGTCTCATCTCTTAAACCCGTCTTTCATTTCTGAGATTTGACAGTATCCGTGGTCAGCTTCCTACTCTCAACTGGGAATGCGAGTTTTATTTTAAAGACTCTGGAAATTATGTGTCTTGACCAGCCACTGGTGTGTGTGTGTGTGTGTGTGTGTGTGTGTGTGTGTGTGTGTGTGTGTGTGTGTGTGTGTGTGTGTGTGTGTGTGTGTGTGTGTGTGTGTGTGTGTGTGTGTGTGTGTGTGTGTGTGTGTGTGTGTGTGTGTGTGTGTGTGTGTGGTTTCTCCAGCTGTGATGTCCTATTGATTGTATTTTAAGGTGTATTAAATTAGACTGGACTGAATAGGAAATCACTGAAGGCCCAGGGGTGGAACGTACCGCCCGCCACTGCTAAAAACAGAAGTAATTTGAAAAGGAGGCCAATACTTCACAACTCTGTATTTAAGATGAACCTTTTTGAAACATCTTAAAATACTGAGAGGTTTTGGTCACCTTCACCATATCAAAAAGTTTCTTTGCTAGTATTAGTGAATAAACGGCCCAATGGTGATAGATGCTGCACTGGTCCAGAATACAGATATTAAACCAACTGAGTAAATGTTTAAGACATTATCAATTTTCTATTCATATAATGAATCCAAGACTTAATGTAGTTAAATGTGAATTGCATTCTGCTTTTGCATGCACGTTATAGACTTAGTAGTGCTTTGCAGGTGTTGTGTCGAAATCTGTCACCTATCTCCACATCTGGGTGTGTTCCCCTTTACTAAATCTAACATGTCAGGTGTGCACTGCATTAACTGATGATGTACTTGACTAATATGTGTGACTAAACTTTGTAGAAATTGTTTAAATTTTTTTGTGAAGCGCCTCGTGATTTTAATCTTGAGTGGCGCCATATAAAAGATCGTCTTCTTCTAAACAGTTTACGACTAGGTAACACATTTCGACACAACACCGGCAACATAAACGTTCATGTACAGATTGACAGTCGCAGAAAAACGAGCCAGGATTTGTAAGGATTGTTCCATTTCTTCACGGGGATATGAAGCCAGCCGTGCCACAGATTTATGTGTTTGTATGTTTACTCACCTTACTGAGGACTCCGCTTAACTCAACAACATTAACGGGATGCCCGCAGTCCTCCCTGGGCTCCAAATCTTCCTCGGACCCGGAGGAGTTCCAACTCTGGTTGTCTGACATGTTTCTAACAGATCCTCGCCCACAAATACCAACGACGCACACGGCTCAGAGTAACGTTATATTAGAACTGGCATCAGCAGGGCTGTCTGGTAATAGTGTAGAAAACAGCAACAGTTCACGGAACGACGCTGTCTTCTTATCGATCGGCTAACAGCTCCGCGAACGGAGAGCTCGCAGAAATAGCCGACGGATCGATAGCTAGCTCCCACCGGGGAAGCGTCCGTTAGCCTCTGCTTTAATGGTCAGGCGGCGCATGTAAACGCTAGCTGTCAAAACTCCGCTTCTCTTCGGCGAACACCACAAGTAACGAAGAAAGATGAAAACCTAGCTAAAGGCTGGGCCGAGCGTCAGCAGTCACACCGAACCGTCTGTCAGAATAAAAGCCCGCTGTTGTGTTTGTTTCGCTCCGAACACCGATGACAGCTTCTTACGCCATGGTGCTCCTGGACTGCTTCTCCTAAACTGAACGAGCGCGTGCTTCAACTTGTGCGGTGCGCAGAGGCGCTGGCCGCAGTGACGTCACCAAATCTACCCCCCATTAGGCAACAGACCCCTCCCCCTCCCCCTCCTTGTTGATAGTACTCAAAATAGACCAAAGTACCAGAATACACTACTGAGTACTAGAAAGGACTTTAGAGCAGAGCTGAAAATAAAGAAGCACAGAACAGAGAAAATGTCACAAACTAAGATCTGTTGGTACATGTGGTGGGAGTTTCTCACCAAAATAAAAGTGTTTTTATTTTGATAGATAGATAGATAGATAGATAGATAGATAGATAGATAGATAGATAGATAGATAGATAGATAGATAGATAGATAGATAGATAGATAGATAGATAGATAGATGATAGATAGATGATAGATAGATAGATAGATAGATAGATAGATAGATAGATAGATAGATAGATAGATAGATAGATAGATAGATAGATAGATAGATAGATAGATAGATAGATAGATAGATAGATAGATAGATAGATAGATAGAACTGCAGATTTGTCAGCTGCTCATCCAGAAATTGACCTCATTGATCTGGTGATTGTGGAAGGTGTTGGAGTCCAGGGAACTCAGGAAACCACTTTGACAATACTCAAACTTTGAGACTTGGTGCATTATCCAGCTGGGGGTAGATTTGTCCATTGTGGTCAAAAGGCAGAGAAAGGGGGAGTAGAAGCAGCAGCAGCCTGAAGCGCTGATACACGGCAGAATGGATCCATGGTTTCACGTCGGTGACACCAAATTCTGACCCGGCAGCAGAAATCAGACTAATAAGGCCACATTTTTTAAAATGTTTTATAATCTCTGGTTACCTTGTGTGGATTTAGCCTCAGTTTCCTGTTCTTAGCTGTGGCCTCATGCTGCTGTGGTCCATCTGCCTCGAGGTTCAACATGTTGTTCTGCAGACTTTGGTTGTAACCAGTGTTTTTTTTAGCTAATGTTGCTTTTCTATCTGCCCCTTCTCCTCTGATAACAACAGGACATTTTCATCTACACAACTGCTGCTCACTGGACAACTTAGTTCTCTGTGAACCCTGGAGATGGTTGCTGGTGAAAATCCCAGTAGATTAGCATTTTCTGCAATACTCAGACCAGTCGTTTACACATTTAGGGGGGGGGGGGGGGGGGGGGTTGCCCGTAAACAAGGAATTCAGTGTTTTAATTGACTTTACAAGAGAAGAAACTCCAAATATACAAATGAGAAATAGGCACACTGAGCTTCATCCATTTGACTGCCGGTGCTCAACAGATACAGGACCAGCGATTATGAAGTGGAAGAAGAAGGCCGGAGCACTCGGGTCAAAATAAAAATATTTCATTGGTGCAAATAAATGAACTCTGTCTAAGACAGCAAAGTCAAAATGTTAGTTCATTTATTTGCATGAATTAAATATTTTTATTTTGACCCGAGTGCTCCAACCTTCTTCTTCCACTAATATACAAATGCTTGTATGTTATCGTGGTTTGGTCACATTTGTGGTGCGATAGGCAGAACCTGCAGCTGTCGTCACGTAGAAAGTCAAATGATGCTGATCTCTGCTCACAGTTGAGCACATGACTTTTCCTCAGCATTCCACAAACCCAGTGAGAAAGAAGAAGTCACATGAAACACCCTGATGACTCCATGGCTGTTGATTAAAAACATAACTTTGGGTGGCTCTTAAAAATACATTTGCTCTGGAGTCAAGAATAAGTAATTGCATGAATGTTTGAAACATTTAGGCAGCAGTCACGATGGCTGGTCCACAAAATGACATCTCTATCAATCTGGAAGAAATAAAAACTGCCTCATTTTTTTGATTGTAGTAAAAAAAAAAAAATAAAAACAAGTAAGACTTAAGATTAAACTAATTTATTGAATTAAAAAATACTAAATAAACACATCTTTAAATACGAGATTGGTACATTTTCACTAACAACATATTATTTATCTATTTATTTGTTTGTTTATTTTTTCGTTCATTCTGGTGCATGACTGTTTAGTGTTTTATGAATCTGCTGTTTACCTTGTATCAGGATATGGTTTGGCAAGAAAACTCAAACGTTTTCTGTACTGCAGACATGTTTTTGAGACTGAACAACAAACTTATCATTGTGGTGGGACCTGCTCATGCACGAGTGACTTACATGTGATAAGAGGCCAGTTCATCATTTTCTGCTGAACAAAACCATTAAAGTGTGTTTAGAATATTTATAGTTTATGGCTTTGAAAATAAGCACAGTTGGGCGCTCAAGCCTTTAAAAAAAATCTGGTCAGTGTTTGGACACCCCAGATAAAACCAGTGTGAACCATCGGTGTGAACTCAACTCAACAGCAGAGCTGTATAGTCCTAGCAATGGAGCTCCATCTAGTGGTAAGATTGGAAACTGTTTGTAATTCAGTCAGCTGGCAGTGAGCAGGGGTGGGTAAAGTAACTGGTGTAAAGTGTGTAGATAAAAAAGCATAGTATTAGCAATATATATATATATATGATTTGAATTCTTGATCAGGAGAATACACACAGGGAAAAAGTTCTGACAGGTGCTGTGTGTTGGTTGATTTAAACTTTTCCTATGTTTTTGCCTTTTTGAAAAAGTGCACAGGTTGTTTTATTGTCAGATCAAAACAGATTTTTTTTTCATCCAGCAGCCAAACTTTTTGTTTCACATTACCTCACTGAACATCCCAGCGGTCACCTGGCAACGTGTCAGTCCTATATGGGAAAAGGCCTGCGGGCAACTGGTTGTTTGACTGGAAAGGATTCAGTGTTGATGTAATCATGGTGGCATACAAAGTGTTCCTGACTTAGTGGATCTGTGACTCATTTAGAGGCTGGTGAGTCAAGCACCATGACTCAGGCAGGGCTGATCGAGCAGTAAAGTGATTAAGTCACATCCTGTTTGGATTCCTGGGTCAGCATCTCCAGGAGGAGGAAGCAGCAGATGCTTCATCAAGAAGGACTCACACTTCTCTGAGGAAGTTCACAGTTTCCTGAGGATATGTTTGGTCCGTGTGAGGGGGGAAAGTATTAGAAACTGATTCAGTGATTTTACTTTTATAGCTGAACAGAAGGCTTAAAATGTTATACAGAATCAGAACCAGAATCAGAACAAACTTTATTGATCATGGGGCAAATTGTGCAAAGGTGTAACAGCAAGTGTAATACCCCCAAAACTCAAAGGAGAAATAATTTTGACTTATTTAAATAATAGTTCTACAGTCAATACCAAACACGTTCATGAAGTTCTTTGCATGTAGTCCCTCTCAAACGAAGCCATTTCAGCTGTTTTGACAGTTTCAGTACCTTCCAGAATGAGCCGTTTTAGGGCTATGTTGCTTTTGCTTCTTTTAGAAAACCATGTCACCACTTTGCCGCAACATCAGAGAGCCTTGGGTCATTTATAAGTGCACAGACCGTGACGCTAATGTTGCACAATCGTGTCCTTTTTACAAAAGATTAGGTGATGGGAGTAAAGGGGGTAAGGGGGTGGTCTCTGTGCTGCTGCAGACTTCCGTTTGTTTTAGATATGACTTGTTTTTATTGCAATTGAAGCTGCGCTCATTAAGTTTTTCTAACAAGCAGCTTCTAAGCACCTGTCCTCCACAGTCCTTGTGCGGTGATCTGAGCTCCAGCTCTAACGGAGAAAAGCTCTAGGAGCGCTGTATAGCTCCAGTTTGCAGTCTCAGCTGATTCTGATTACAAAACTTACAGCCTGTGTTCACCTTCATTTTTAATATACTGCCCTTCCGGAGCGCAGCAGTAACTACCCATGGGATCATGACACCTCCCTCTGTTGCACAAAGGCGTAGAATGCATTCACAAGTCCGGCGTTGTGGTACTAAAACTACCAAGCATGGCGGCACGAACGCTGCAAAATTCCTGCATCTCCATGCTGCCACAGGGGGTTCATAAGACACACCATTACCGCAGTATTACGCTGATTTGCCAGCATGGTGTGTCATCTAAAAGGGGCTTAAAAAGGCTTTTAAAATACAAGCTGCTGCTAGCATCGCCCACCCTCCCTCCCCCCTCTGGCTGCTATTAGTGGAAAATGGCCAGTGCTGATACTAGAGTCCTACAATCCCCCCCCCCCCCCCCCCCCCCCCCCAAGGTGCTTTAAAACACACACACACACACACGCACACGCACGTACACACACACACACACGTGCACGCACACACAGAGAGAGAGAGAGAGAGAGAGAGAGAGAGAGAGAGAGAGAGAGAGAGAGAGAGAGAGAGAGAGAGAGAGAGAGAGAGAGAGAGAGAGAGAGAGAGAGAGAGAGAGAATTGAGGCTGCCGTACTGGCACCACCACTGGTCCTCTGACCTTCACCAGCAGATGAGGGTTAAGTGTCCTTATGAACATTACATCCTCCTCTGGGATCTCTGGGATCTGGGAGGTTCTGAGAGGGATGGCCAATCTTTAGACTTGTCTGAGATGTTAAAATTATTAGCGTTAGCTAATTGTATGGTTTTGGAGTGCCACCGGGGCTTTACTCAAAGTGACTCTTTTCTAAACGGAGTAAATAACTATAAAACACAACTAAAAGACAACGCTCTCCATCTGAAAAGAGGTACAAACAAAAAGGCCTCACAATAGGCTTCTAACTTTAAGTGCTCAAGCGTTCAAACGTTGTCAAGAGCTAATTAATCAAATTCTCAAGTTGCGTAAGAGACAAAATGAAGGCTACTAGTTTAACCAAGTCTCCTGAAATGCCATAGAGACCAAACAAAAGCAGCTAAGTTTAATTAAGTCTCCAAACACTCAAAAGGAGACTAATCCAACACTTGAGCTCTCAATCACCTCTTCTACTTTCTACAACCTCCTTCTCTCAGGCCTTGTGCGGACATGGCTGGTTGGTGCTATACAGGTCCTTCTCAAAAAATTTGCATATTGTGATAAAGTTAATTATTGTCTGTAATGTACTGATAAACATTAGACTTTCATATATATTAGATTCATTACACACAACTGAAGTAGTTCAAGCCTTTTATTGTTTTTAACATTGA